CACCTACCAGTCCAACCTCGCAAGCCTCGCCACGGCGCTCTCCAGGAACGCCTCCTCGTCCCGGACGCTCTTCGCCAAGGGCAGCGTCGGCGTCCTCCCGGACATCGCGTACGCGCTGGCGCTCTGCCGCGGGGACGCCAACGCCACGGCATGCGGGTCCTGCGTCACCACCGCCTTCCAGAGCGCGCAGCAGCTGTGCGCCTTCGACAAGGACGCCACCGTCTACTACGACGGCTGCTACCTCCGCTTCTCCAACATGGACTTCCTGGACGACACCACCAGCAACGACAACGAGCTGATCCTCATGAACTCGCTGAACGTCAGCTCGCCGGTCAAGGTGTTCGACGCCGCCGTCCGCGTGCTCCTCAATGCCACCGGCGACTACGCGGCGGCGAACTCTACCAGGCTGTTCGCCACGGGGGAGGAGGCGTTCGATGCCACCGACCCCACCATCTATGGCCTCACGCAGTGCACGCCGGACATGACGCCGGCCGACTGCCGGCGATGCCTTGGCGATATACTTGGAATCATGCCGCGGTACCTGAGCGGCCGGCAGGGCGGCAGGGTCCTTGGAGTACGCTGCAATTTCAGGTACGAGGTGTATCCTTTCTTCACGGGCGAACCGACGCTACGGCTTCCTGCACCATCGTCGCTGTCTCCGTCACCGGCGCCGGCGCCACCTCCTGTGCCAGTTAACGTGACGCCGACGGCAACACCACCAGGTGAGATGTCAAACACAACTTCGCTAAATCTGCAGTTTTAGCTTGATTTTAGCACTAGATATCTCCTCCAGTTCTCCAAATCAGATTTTAGAACAGGGATGGGCGTCTCAATCAAGAACACAAAAGGAAAACATGGGCATGGCAGAGCAATCCAGATTCTAGTTTCATACGACTGTTGACTTGATAATAATTAGAGGCAAACAACTGAATTCTTATGTTCTAATTATTTGGGAACCACACTATTGTCAACAGATGTAGAGGCCACGTAACCTTGTATGCAGAGTTTTCTTACATCTCTGCAGTCCCGTCGCTATCATTTACTACTCGTTTGACTGAAAATGACGCGTAGAATATGTAAGCAGGAAATGACGCGTAGAACATGTACGCACGAAGAAAAAGATATGTCGCAACTGTTGTGCAGTGTTTTTCATCTTCTTTCATCTTGTTTCTTTTTTCTGTTTTCTGGGAACTTTAGGCACCGTGTAATTTTGTTATAGCTCTTCACCTTCTACTTAATGCAAAGCCAGAGCACCTGCTGTTTCATGCTAAAAAAACCCAGAACTTTTTACAAAGGAAAAATGTATTAGATTAGAAAAGTAAAATCATGAAGGAAAAAGTTGCCCATTACTACATTTCAAACGTGCTTGCATTTTCCATTTAGCATGGTGAAGTCTGTCTACCTACAAAACAATGTGGTTAGTTCCGCTTCCAATGGAGGGTTAAGTAGGCAGTAGGCACTACTCAAAGTTAAATGTTTATAAACCATCCCATGGTCCACTCCATGATCTGTTAATTAGAAAAGGTTCAGAAGAGATAAGATTTTGTCGTAAAGTTATCTTTGTTTTATTTCCAATTCGAACTTTTCGACAATAACATAGTGCGAAGCGCCACGCTGCTACTCTGCTAGCCGTTGATTTCCTTAACCTCTGGGCCTAGCAGCACTAAGATTCTCAGTGCTGTAAGCTTGTACTCCAAAGTTTCCTGCAAGTGGTTGAGTCTGTATCTTTCCACAAACATGATTGAAGATATGTTTTGTACTAATTGGTTCAGATTATGATTGAATTGTTCCTAAGATTTGCGGCATGCTTGTTTATTGAAGTTTGTGGACTTTGTTTACAGGAAGAACCAGAAACAAAACAGGAATTGTTTTAGCAATTGCACTTCCCATAGTTGCTGCGGTGCTATCTATCAGTACTGCTTGTCTCTGTTTCTTCTGGAGGAGGAGACCAGCAAGGGAGCAGACACCAGCGGGTAAGTTGTCTTGATAATTTGGAATTGTGAACAGATTTGCAAGAGAGTATGTGAACCAATGCACTACCTGACATATAAAGGGATGTTATGTATTTGATTACATTTAGTTTTTGTTTTTTTTTTACTTAAATCTCAAGGAGATTATATGTGTTGGGTATTACTCATGTTTATATATTGTGTTGTCACTATATTCTGACAGATTCAACTAATGTTGGGGACATTGAAAGCATCAATTCCCTTCTTCTCGATATATCAACTTTACGCGCTGCGACCGGTAACTTTGATGAGAGCAATAGGCTTGGTGAAGGAGGTTTTGGTGCTGTCTATAAGGTGCCACTCATACTAGCCCGATTCATAATGCATTTTCATTTTCAGCAACTGAAGGTTCACACTTACGCAGGGCGTCCTTCCTGATGGTCAAGAAATTGCAGTGAAGAGGCTCTCACAGAGTTCAGGGCAAGGAATACAAGAGCTGAAAAACGAGCTTGTCTTGGTTGCCAAGCTTCAACACAAGAATCTTGTTAGGCTTGTTGGTGTTTGCTTGCAAGAACATGAGAAACTGCTTGTGTATGAATACATGCCCAATAGAAGCATCGACACCATCCTTTTCGGTATTATTTTGTAATAATCTGTTTTCCGATAGCACTAGTAGTATCAGAATTTAACATTTCTGACATGAGGTTTCTTGTTCAACTGACAGATCCTGAGAAAAACAAGGAGCTAGATTGGGCAAAAAGAGTCAAGATAATAAATGGAATTGCCAGAGGATTACAGTATCTACATGAAGATTCTCAGTTGAAGATTATTCACCGGGACCTTAAAGTGAGCAATGTCCTTTTAGACTCTGATTATACTCCTAAGATTTCGGATTTTGGCCTGGCTAGGCTATTTGGAAGGGATCAATCGCGGGAGGTCACAAGCCGCGTCGTTGGAACATAGTACGTCTACTTCCAAACTAGGGGGGACACCATGCCTCCCACCCACTTACCTAAAATTTGCATGCAAAGATAACACATTTTTTAGCACCATTTATTGTTAAGCTTTTGCTCTTTCTAGCTCCATGCCTCTATTCTTGACTAGAATGAATTTCCCTTCATGTTGCAGTGGGTATATGGCACCCGAGTACGCCATGCGTGGCCACTATTCTATAAAGTCCGATGTTTTCAGCTTTGGCATCTTGATTCTAGAAATCTTAACCGGAAGAAGAAGCAGTGGTTCCTTTAACATCGAGGAGTCTGTTGATCTCTTAAGTCTTGTAAGACATTCTGCTATCCCAAAACTCTCTACACAAGTAATTTGCTTCAAATACACTAACAAAATTTGCATTTGATAATTGATACAGGTTTGGGAGCACTGGACCATGGGAACAATTGTGGAGGTTATGGATCCATCTCTGAGAGGCAAAGCTCCTGCGCAACAGATGCTGAAATATGTCCATATCGGCCTACTGTGTGTTCAGGATAACCCGGTCGATAGACCGATGATGTCAACAGTAAACGTCATGCTCAGCGGCAGCACTTTCTCCCTCCAGGCTCCACTAAAGCCAGTATTTTTCATTCCCAAGAGTGGTTACTACTCAACTGTTTATTCAGAATCATATCCTACAACTTCCCAATCCACCGCTAACGTTACGTCTGGGGTGATATCACCAAATGAAGTGTCAATTACAGAATTGGAACCAAGATGAGCCTTGGAGCATCATGCTGCCACTTGCCAGAGCAATTGGATTATTATTGTACGAATAAACAGAACACAGGGCAATACTCTAGCGTCTGTATTACTTACTTTTCAGTTATGTTTCCACTGGCCCCTCTATTCATAAGCCGTATATTTCAATTAGCAAATCTGAGTCAATTGTGAATTGATCTGTAGATTTGCACAAGCTACCTTGCCGTCCCGTGCTCTCATGGCAAACTCTAAAGCGACACGTCAGCCGACACGGTCGTGTTAGTGCCACTCTTTCCGGCGAAGAATCCCGGTTTGGATGGAGCCTGGAGGGTGACCGTGTTGGTTCCAAGCATCATCACGACGGACGACATCACCGGCCGGGCCGCGGGGTCTCCCTGGACGCAGAGCAGCCCGATGTGGATGCACCTCAGCACGTCGCCCTCCGGGAAGCTTTCGCCCAGGGACGGGTCCACCAGCTCCGCCACCGTCCCGGCCTCCCAGTGCTCCCATACCTGCACGGGTAATTGTAACCGTGAGGTCTAACTTCACCGTAAGCCAGCAAGGTGTAGCTGTAGCAACAATGGTGATTGTCAGTTTGCACTTACGGTGGTCAAGAGGTCTCCAGACTTTTGGGAGTTGTAGTAGCTGTCGTTGTTCTTCCTCCCCGTGACGATCTCCAGCACCATGACGCCGAAGCTGAAGGCGTCCGATTTCACGGAGTAGTTCCCGCGCATGAGGTATTCTGGCGCCATGTACCCACTGAAAAGAGAAATGTACCCATTTCAGCAGGGAAGCTCAACCAGAGCACAACTAAACACTGAGAGATGCATGGGTACTGACTAGGTTCCGACAACGCGGCTGGTGACGGCCTGCGTCTGGTCTCGGCTGAAGATCCTCGCGAGGCCAAAATCTGAGATCTTGGGGTTCATCTCCACGTCGAGCAGGATGTTGCTGGCCTTGAGATCACGGTGGACTACCTTGAGCTGGGAGTCCTCATGGAGGTACTGCAGGCCTCGAGCGATGCCGTTTATGATCTTGTACCTCTGCTCCCAGCTAAGCTGCTGCTCACGCTTATCATCAGTACCGAAGAGTATCAGGTCGAGACTCCGGTTGGGGACGAACTCGTACACGAGCAGCCGTTCTTGCTGCTCCAGGCACACGCCGATGAGCCTGACGAGGTTCCTGTGCTTCAGCTTGGCGACCAACGCGAGCTCGTTCTTCAGCTCCTCCACCCCTGCGTCGAGCTCTTCGACAGCCGCTTCACCGCTATCTCGTCGCCGTCCGGGAGAACGCCCTGAACAAATCACACCAATGTTAGTCATGAGCTCCATGGCACATTCTTCATTGATTGTTCAGTACCTTGTACACCGCGCCGAACCCGCCTTCGCCGAGCTTGTTGCTTTCGTCGAAATTCCCTGTTGCGGCTCGCAGGGTGGAGACGTCGATCATCATGGAGTCCACCGTCTCCATGTCCTCTGCTTCAGTGGAATACATGGGCTCTGTTCAAGTACAGATTGGATGTGTCATTTCTTTTCAGTTCAGACTCCATGAAGTGTTTCAGGCTGTGACAAAGTGGGAGGATTTTGCAGGAACATACTACGTGACTGCTTTGCCTGTGCTACTGGTCGCCGCCGCCTCCAGAAACAGAAGCAAAACACAAGGTTCAGTGCAGCTAGAGTAGGCAGCACAACTGCAAGAACCACAATGAAGACACTGTACTTCCTCTCCCCTGTGAATGAAATGAATGTGTGAGCACACAAACGGAATTTCAGTAGAAACAGAACAAACAATTTAGATTGGTCTAGTATCAAGACCGTATCAATAGCTTTATCACTGGTCAAAAGTATTTCCTCATCAATGCTTATATTTTATTATGAGTGCTTGTCGTAGAAAATCTGGGGGCAACTTTTGGATTATTCTGACCACGAAATGCCAGAATAGGTAACATGAATGAAAGTGTGTTGAAGACTAGCTTTGAAGCAACTAATTTAAAATTCTAATATTTGCGCCACTCGAGTAAAGATTACAATAATTCATCATCCACGCACGCGCGCACTAGCAAATTTCAATCACGGTCAACTGGTCAAGCTATTTCACACGCATGAATAATTTACAGTCAATATGCACGGGGTCCATGAGTCCCAAACAAAGAGTAAAATAAAATAATAAGCGCTTTAACCCACCTCTTCCTGTCGCGGCCGTCGCCGGTGCCGGTGCCGGTGCTGGAGGGCTCGACGATGCCAGCCGCACCATGGCCGGTCCATTGAAGAAAGGCGCGGTCTCGTACCGCCAGGTGCAGTTGACCCAGAGCACCCTGCCTCCGATGTTGTTCTGGAACCCGTCTAGCGATTGCGATATAAGTCCGGAGAGGCACCTGCGGCACTGCGCCGGCGTCTGGTCCGGCGTGCACTGCGCCAGGGTGTACACCTTGGGGAACTCCTGGTCGAAGTCGGCCTCCCCCGTGGCGAACCGCCGCGTGGAGTTGTACGCGGCGTGCTCGGCGGTGGCGTTGACGAGCGCGGCGAGGAGTCGCTCGAACCGGGCCGGGTCGGAGGTGACGTTGGCGTTGTTGTTGATGGTGTACGACAGTGTCGTCGGGCCGGTGTCGTCGCCGGGGAGGGTGTGGACGTCGGAGTAGTGGAGGATGCAGGGGTCGTAGTAGATGGTGGCGTCCTTGTTGTAGGAGCAGTCGTTGGGCAGGTCCTGGAACGCCTGGGTGAGGCAGGCGAGGCAGCTGCTGGCGTTGGTGTCGCCGCGGCAGAGCCCCATGGCCCAGACCTGCTCCGGGACAGCGCCGGCGACGGAGGTGGCGTAGAGGGTCGGGGACGCGGAGACGTTCTTGGGCAGCGTGGCGGCCAGGAGGTTGAGATTGGCCTGGTATGTGCTGTTGGGCATGAAGTCGTTGCTTGTTCCACAAATTGGCCACGGGTAGCCAGCGGCGCCGGGCGCGAGCAGCGAGACGGCGGCGATGATGGCGGCCACGGCCACGGCCAGGAGGTGGGGAGCCATTGGTAGTTTGGTACAGGTACGCATGGCGGAAAGAATTAGGAGCCAGCTTATGGAGACGCGGGGGACTGACAGTACGCCCACCGCGGCGACACCAAACCACCTGTCCGTTTTGGTTGAGTGTGTGAACACCAGGCTGGATTCAATGTTCTATTCTAATAAAAGGCCTGCCCTTTGTGCATTAGTATTTTTCTTTTCGTAATGATTATATAGCTCTTTATGCTTTAATCAGTCATCCACACACAATTATTGATATAAGCAGTTGCCATAATCATTGAAGGGACTTTGTTTAGTTAAGCATCTTATATTTTCATAAATTTGCAGTAAATTAACAAATGTTCCTCAAACTAAAATCCACAGCACAAGATCTACAAACAGACCCCTCATATAACACATTTCTAAATCCTTATTAGTATACGTAAAATATGTTGCTTATTAAGCAGAAGACTAGACCCGATGCTTTCGTTTTTTTAAACAATCATATCTGCCTTAAAAGTTGGATTAGAGGCCCTTTTTCTTTATGCAAAGGAATAAAATAGAGAAGCTTAATTAGATAGCAGCACACGGTACTGTAACTACACTCTTCGGTTCAGGCATGCATATCGTCTTCAGAATTATGCATAAAATTAAAACCGACATTGATCAATTTAACATGCTGTGGCTTTTATACCACCTTAAAAAAAAAGATGTCTCATTTATTTGTAAGAATGATAGCATTTACATCGGCAAGAAAACAAGAAAATATAGAGAAGGGACTACAGGTTCTAAAACAATTTGTACTACATCCGTCTAAAAAAGATGTAACTTTAGCTCTATCCTAGTTAATTTTTTAAGGCTTAATTAAATTTAGAGAAAAAAGACAAATCTAGTGATACTCCTGGATAACCACAAACTAATAACCACACATAAACATTTATGGGTAAAGTGCAGACAGACGTGTACAGTAGAGCTGTAGTACATACCAATCATGTCAGCATCACTACACAGATCCCAGACTCGCAGTGGTGGGGTGGGGGGGGATAAATGCTCTGTTCACTCAGGTTTGTTTGGTTTATAAACTGTATTTTTTTAATCAATAAATAATATTTTTTTCTCACGCTAAATCAGCCAACAATATTTTCAGCCAAACTTAGAGTCGCGGTGCAGCGGACGGTGGTTGGTTGTGTTAGCAAAAGTGCAAAACAATTGGCGCTGCCGCCTGCCGCTCGGACGGCAGTGTTTTGTTGGCATGTGAATGCAGGTCAGCATCCTCATGTACTCATGTGTAACCCATGTATTATTATAAGGTCATCATTGTGGATGAGAACATATGCTACAAATATTTTGACTAGTATTGGCCACTAGGGAACGCAAATGATGTAGTGGTGCTCCTCACAACTCCACCGCGTCAAGAAGACAATTGACACCTGCACGAAGACTCTAGCTGCCGTGTAGGGTAACACTAACCCAGTGGCGTGATAAACGTTGGCATAAGCATAAGCATTTGAACACGAGGAGATCGGGTCAACTTGCCATGCCTGTACCCATACATACATACATATACATACAGGTCACGATAAGACAGCTAACTAGTAGCGGTACTATTCTCACACGATTGAGCATATGCATGCATCTACTTTACGATCAAGATGCAATCGACAGCGTTTAGATCGATCGGTTGGCCAGCTGTTGGTCACCTATAGAATTCGGGCATAATAGTAGGCATGTAATCAGGTCCTTTCATTATAACTTATAGATTATGAATTATAAATCATTTTGACTTTTCTAAATGCATATAGTTTTATATCATACACGTTATGACTAGATGTATAATAATATATCCCTGGCCCTACTCGAAGATAAATTCACAACTACAGAAATAGATGAGACAAATCTCCTAGTCCAGATGGCTTTAGTAATGAATTCATCGAGAAATGCTGGAACCATATCAAAAATGATTTTTATGATCTATGTTGGGCTTTTAAGGAGAACAATGTCTGCCTTCAAAGTGTTAACTCCTCTTTTATCACCTTGGTTCCCAAGATCTAGAGCCCCATCTGTTTGTCAGACTTCAGACCTATTTCCCTCCTCAATAGCTCCATCAAACTGGTCACCAAACTTCTTGCCCATAGGCTTCAGGAGGTAATCATACCTCTGATTCACAAAAATCAGTATGGCTTTATCAAAAGTAGAACCATCCAGGACTGCATTGCCTAGGCTTTTGAGTATCTACACCTGTGTCACCACTCAAAAAAAAGAAATCATCATTCTAAAGCTAGACTTTAAAAAGGCTTTTGACAAAATTGAGCATAATACCATCCTCAGTCTTCTGGAAGCCAAAGGCTTTGGTCAAACTTGGGTCAATTGGATTAAGAATATTCTTTCTTCTGGCGCCTCAAAAGTGCTTCTTAATGGAGTTTCTGGAAAGACTATTCACTGCAAAAGAGGGGTCAGGCAAGGTGATCCCCTCTCACCTCTTCTTTTTGTTCTGGCTGCTGATTTGCTTCAGTCCATCCTAAACAAAGCAAAGAATTTGAGACTGCTACACCTTCCATTTTTTCTCCCTTTTTCTTCAGATTTTTCAGTGATCCAATATGTTGATGATACCTTAATCATCATGGAGGGGGATGCTAGGCAATTACTTTTCCTTAAAGCAGTCCTCGACTCTTTTCCTGAATCAACTGGATTAAGGGTTAATTACAGCAAGTCTGACATGGTTCCCATTAATATTTCTGAAGCAAAATTCAACCTTCTGGCTAACACCTTTGGTCGTGCTAAAGGTTTTTTGCCTTTTACTTATTTGGGGCTTCCTCTGGGGATTACTAAACCAAGGATTGAGGATTACCTTCCACAAGTAACCAAGTGTGAAAGAAAGTTTTCCTCTATTTCAATCTTCCTCTCTCAAGCTAGTAAGCTAGAAATCACCAATGTTGTTTTGATAGCTTTGCCAACATTCTACCTGAGTGCCCTTGCTCTCCCAAAAGGAGTCCTCAAACAAGTAGATAAGTTTAGGAAACACTGTCGTTGGTGGAGGGCTGATATAAACTCTAAAAGGCCCCAAAAACAGCCTGAGAAATGGTTTGTGTTCCTAAAGAAGGAGGACTTAGAGTTATTAACTTAAAAAGCACAATGAAACACTTCTCTTAAAAACATGGATAAATTCTTCAATCACAAAGATATTCCTTGAGTTTCCTTGATCTGGGAGAGGCATTATTCAAATGGAAAGTTACCAAGTCATATTAAAAAAAAGCTCATTTTGGTGGAGAGATATTCTAAAGCTGCTTGATTGCTTTAAATCTTTCACCTTGGTCCAGGTTCAAAATGGAAGATCATGTCTCTTTTGGTCAGACAATTGGATTCAACAACCCTTGAAGCTTGAGTACCCTGAACTCTTTTCTTTTGTCAAGAATAAAACCATCATTGTCTCCAAGTTCTTTTCTCACCGGTCACTCTCAGATCTCTTTTTGCTACCTCTGTCTTCTAAAACTTTTCAACAACTTCAAGTATTGCAGTCTTTCGGTGAACATTATACTGAGCAGGAAGATATCTGGACTCCTCGGTGGGGAAGAACAACAGCTTCAAGAACCTACAAGCACCTCATTGGTCACAGGCATATTCCTCAAGTTTATAATTGGCTATGGTAGTGTTTTTTGTCAGCCGAAGCACAAGGTTTTTTCTGGTTGTTATTGAAGGACCGACTAAGCACATGTAATGTTCTGAGAAGGAAAAACATGCCTCTTGACTCATACAACTGTGTCTTTTGTCAAGAATCTATTAACGAAACAACTGACCATTTGTTCTTTTAGTGTCAGTTTGCCAAAAAATGCTAGAATTTGTTGGGCATTACAATTCAGATAGATCAAAACATCACTGCAGCAGTTGATCAGATCAGTGATCAATCTTACCCTGCCTTCTTTATGTTGGTCACAATATTAATGTGCTGGACAATTTGGACAGTTCGGAATGACTTCATATTCAAAGGAGTTCAGCCGATTCTCAACTCGGCTAAAGCAGTGTTCACAGAGGAAACAAAGATCCTCTCCTTACGGGCAAGGACTAAATTATCTCATACTTTTGATTTATGGATTCAAAACCTATTGTAATTGCCCTTCTTTTCCTGATGTTTTATTTGTTTCTTTCTTTGTTTCTTAAGCTTGTTGTCGGTGTTTCAAGTTACCAACTAATAAATTTTGAGTATTGCGCATCTGGCTTGGATGATGTGCTTAGAGGACACGAGGTTTATATTAGTTCGGGCAGAAAGTCCCTACATCCAGTTTGTCGCTACTGCTCATGTTACTAGCACTGAAAGTTTGTAGTAGGGGTTACAAACGGGCAAAAGAGGGATAGGTCCCAAGTCTTTGAGGTGCGTGTGCTCCTAAGACGTGTTAGGGCATGTGTTTTGATGTCTACAGCCATATAGAGTGGTGTCTAGCCGTCTCCCCTCCCCCATGTGGCGTCCTGCTTCCTCTTTTATAGACGAAGGGGAAGAGCAGGTTACAGAGAGAAAGAGGGAGAAGAGCCAAGGAAAGGAAGGCTTCCAGGACCGCCGGGCCTTTCTTCTCCTTTATGCGGGTCCCGCCAACACTGCAGATGGTGATAGCACGTCAGGTGCCTATTCGCCACTGATGCCACGCCCCGGCATTGTTAGTGGGTCATGGCGTCCCATTCTGTCCCGATGGGCGACACGGCGAACCAGCGTGCTGGTCAGCGGCCGTATAGGGAGTAGGAAGCATAGTGACCACACGTCCATCACTGTTGGTGATGTGAATTCCCTAGAGTGACATGTCATGGGCATGGGTCATGTTGAGATGTGCCCGCTCCCTGCATAGTACCAGAAGTTTGACCTTAGGTTGTACTTTCTGGCCTGTAGTGGTTGGCGGCAGTACGGGCTTCCATTAGGAGCCGCACCTGAGGGGTCGGGCGAGGCAGAGCCCCTGACCTAGAGGGTGAAAGAGGCGGAGCCCCTGACCCAAAGGCCGGGTGAGGCGGGGCCCACCCCCAGAGGTCGGGCAAGGTGGAGCCCC